AGAGAGAGAGAGAGAGAGAGAGAGAGAGAGAGAGAGAGAGAGAGAGAGAGAGAGAGAGAGAGAGAGAGGCATCTTCTTCTCCGTCTTCTTCTTCTTCTCTCCTCCGGACCTCCTCCATCCTCTGGATACAAGTGTAAATGTGTATGCGACAGTTTGGTACCGGAGCTAACCTCAATGAGAGAGAGTCTGCTCAGCAAGTGGCAAGTAATCAAGTATTGATTAGAGAAGCAACGATTGATTAATTAATCAATCGGGAATTAAACATGCATGGACTGATTGATTGATTGATTTATTGATCGATTATTGATCAATGGATTAGTAAATGGATTATCGATTTGCTAATTGATAGTCTTCTATTTAATCAAACTTGAATTTTTTTCCCTTTTCTGTTTAGTTCTGAATCTGCGAATTTCGCGAATTCTGCGATTTTCGGAGTTCCAAGATTTTTCGGAATTCTGCGATTTTCGGAATTCTGTGATTCTCGGATTTCCACAAATTCTGCGAATTCCATGATTTTTGGATCTCCGCGATTTTTGGAATTCCGCCAATTCCGCAATATCGGGAATTAAGGGATTGAAGTAATAACAAAATTAGGGTTAGTACATTGGTAATGATTGGTTCTAATTCGGGACTTACTGCTGTTTTGTCCTGATTAGTACTAAAAGTGTGATTTTTATCCACAACTAGCCTAATATTGACCAACCAATTACTCATTCCTCGATTCTGTAACTAACAGGAAACTTCTCTGAACGTTCAGAAAATTGCTACTTCTTGAATTGTATCAGACGTACTCAAAATCCGAAATTGGGAAGGAAATTTTTTCCACCTACCTAAAGTAACGAATTTTCAATTTTGATATTGCAACCAATCTGAAATATTTTCTTTCTGCACTTACCTACAGGACAGTCTGGTATGATCATCAGACTTCTCCTCGGTCAGGGCCGATCACCCCGTTTTGCCATTTCCCAAACAAAGTAGTAAGTATTTTTCCTTATTTTATTTGTCAATCTGCAAAAGGGGGGCACTTTTTTCTTGATTAGGCCTTTACCACTGGGATTGGGGGTCTTGCATGCTTGTGTGTGTATGAGCCCTCCCTCCCTCCCTCCCTCCCTACCTCCCTGGTTCTCCCACGGCTTGGTAAGTGCCACGTCAGCAGAAGTGCCATGTCAGCATGGTCGACCAGCCCTGGGGATGCCAGGCCAACTCGCCGGTGAGTCCCTCGTCGCCTTCCGTGCGCGTATGCTGGCAGAGATTGAAGCGGAGGAACTAAGACAGGTCACGGCCGAAGCTGCCCGTCTCCAGGCTGAGGCTGATGCAGCCTGGTAGCAGCGCCAAGCAGCAGCTGAGGCAGACACCCAAGTCCGCCGCAAGGAAGCCTGGGAGCTGTTACTGCAGCACGAGGCACCAGCCGCCGGAAGACTCAAATTTTGGCATTTTGAGCCTTCCGACGGACACAAGGATGCGACACCAGAGGAGGAACACAAGGAATTCCTCTCCAAGCTTGTGCTGCGCCTGGTTTATACTTGTAACCAGCAGCAACATGAGTTGGAAAAACTCCGACAGGCGATGAAAAACGAGCAGGCCTTACAAGAGAACGCAGCACGGGCACTTCATGCCCGCGTCCAAGACTTGGAGCACTCAGCACCAAGCCGAGACGTCGGCGAGTCGAGTACCAGCCAGACTGCAGCCTTGGCCGGCGAGTTGGAAGAACGACTCTACCATGTGGTAGCAATGCTCGGCGAACTCTCCGCGTTCACAGCACCAGCCACCATCAGCAAGCAGCTCGGCTCATTGAAGAATGAGAACCGGAAGCTGCAGCAGCCCCCTGCCGGCTGCGCCAGACAGTCGCCTGGCCCATCCCCCTGCGGTCTGACGTGTTCAGTCCGATGCTATACTCACTCCTGAGATCGCCGGCTCGCTACACTCCGAGTGGGCTTCCCCTGTCGGATTTGTGCCCCCTCCCACGCCTGTGCTAAACCTCCTAGCCCATGGAGGTGTTTTTCTCCCTCCTTTTTTCCTGACAGTTCACAGCAGTGTACTCAGAGGGATCACTACCTTCTTCCCCCGAATACAGCGTACGGTCATTATAACTGTATTTAAGGCATCTTTCAGTCTAGATACAGTTATAATGACCGTACATCGTATTCAGGGGAAGAAGGTAGGACTGGAACTCAGGAAGGCTTGTTTTTAGGTAAGTTAAAAGTACTTGATACTGATGAAGGAGAAAGGCTTTAGTTTCAATAGGGCATAGGCTAGAAAAAGGCGAAAGGTAACACGGGTGAAGAGGTGGTACATCCTCCCGGA